GGGCCCCAGCACATGAAGATCACTTTAACTGGGTGTTTTGATTTGGATTTGCCCACAATTCACACCATACCAGTGTGTCCGAGCCCCTTTGAATCACTGGAGAACGGGCAGATTTCATCCCATTTGGCTGTGTATGTCATCATGGATGGAATTCCAGCTCTATAACAAAATACAGCTGACAAGATGGTTGTGATTGATCCTTTTATGTTTGCATTTCGGTTTAGCTGCATTGAGAAATGAATCACAATACCTTTTCAGCAAGTGGCGGTAACAACTCTGGCCACCCAATGAACCTCCCCGCTGGATCCATCCGAGCTAGCCAACCAACCCACTTGGCCTCAGGCATCCACCATGCTGCCTACTCTGGGCACAACCCGCACAGCACAGATTGCTCCAGAGGTCATGACCTCTCCGTCACGCAAGTCCAATCCGGCACTCAAGTGCCCCACGGCTCTGGGCAAATAGACCCCTCTTCGGCTCATCCGCAACAGATCCCAGCTGGCCGTGATCATCCTGGTGCTATGTTTTCCAACAACCCCAGGGAGCAGTTGATGGACTATTCAAGTCATCAACCAATGGTCTACTCAGGCCCGCCACATACGGGCTACCCGGTGGCAATTAATTACGGCACCACAGCGACACCCTTCCATCACTCAGCCCCCGCATACACCATCATCCTCATCACCCCTACTTGGCCCCTCCCCATTTGCAGTTGGCCCCCATGCACCCACCAGTCCCTCAGTACTATCACCATCCCTCCTTCCATATGTACCCTCCCCAGCACGCTCCAATCTCTTTTGCTCACAACGCTCATCCAAATTATTGGCCGCTTGAGACAAATTAGCAGAACCCTGCCGTCAATTATGGTTCCCACCCAGGTCGCGCTGTTACGTCGCATCCTGTCAGCGCCGGTCTCTTATGTGACCTGGCGTTGATGGGGTTTACGGGTCACACTATAACTGCTAGGGTTACTAGCAGCCAATGGATGAGAAACCTCGCCTCGACGCTTGAAAGCGGAGGGGTTAAGCTTCCTGAGAATGTAGGGGACGCTTGCGGTAAGGTCTTCGCAGCGCCGGGCTTAGAGTGTAAAATAACTCTCTTCTAGGCTACAGTAGGGACTTGACTGTAGTCTAGGATTGGGATAGGATGGATGGGAGTAAAGGGATAAGGGATAACAGTAATATAGATTATAATAAAAACCCCACTCACTAGTTGTAGTAAGGTAAACGGGTTGTATGGTAATAATCTCTGGGGGAAGGAATCCTAGAGGGAAAGCCTTCCCCTTAAGTATTGCAAAGGCAGGGATCAATCTGCCTGTGAGACCGGTGAGGCCTACAGATGATCATTTATGTATATAAATCATAAATGATCAAAATATGTATTTAAATTAAGATTAAACCAAAAGTGGAGGAAATGACATCATCTCTCTCTCTTGGTGAATCAATACAGACAGAGATGATGAATTCCATCCTGATTGGTACTCATTACTCTTATTACAGTAAATACATACAGAGAGAATATGTACTTGATTATTCCATACTTATAGAATAAGAAACCAAGGGCACTTGGACTCATGTACATATATAAATATATACACCATCCTTTGGAGTGGTCATTGAACCACTGCACTAACTCACTCATGGAAATATGAGCCAATGCAGACATTTAGACATGTCCTACATGTCTCATGGCTGACACATCCGTCCCAGATTGCTTACGCCCCTCATGAGCCAATCAATGTGGGGTTCCAATCCAACAGAACTTACGAGTCCCGCCAGGAACCAAGTGATCATCCTGTTCAATTTGGTCCAAGACCGGTACAGCTTGAAAGACCACATGGCCCAGGCAACATCACGACACAAGACCCGGCAGCATTGAAAAGATCTAACTCACAACACCCGGCTGCATACGAGAGGTCTAACTCTGACCAGCGCAACCTTGTGGACCCAGCGGGTGATTGGGATAATGCATGTTGGGACTTGGGCGACCCAACGGCTAATTTCCAGGAGGTTCATTCAAGCTTTGTACCACCTGTTCCGGAAGACATCAGCCCCCTCCCACTGGCCCCTGTGGATGCTTTGCAGTCGGCCCCAGCTGGAACTTTGGCTTTGGATAACTTCTTGTCATCAAATATGCAAGCCCCTGATGTTGCTGCTCACCCTGAACAACGTGTCACTGTGGGCATCACGACCAACCATCTGGATCCTGGGACTGCTTCTCCTGGACGGTGTGAGAACTCCTTTGGGAATGGTGGCAGTCCTGTGAGGGGGAAATAGCAGATGAGATATATCACGTATGTAATGATCTACTACAACTGTTACGGCTGGTTTGAAAGACCTGCCCCTCTATTGTACTACACTGGAGTTAACACAACAATTTATTTATTATTGTTGTGGCAAAACTGATGATAGAGAAAACTATGTGTAGCAGTCTCTTATCAAACCTATATCAACGGGAATTCAGCAGACTATTGGAGTGGAATTGTTGAGTAAGAGGTGTTTTTGTTTATATGTTTATGTATTTTGAAAAATGATTGACGTATGTACTGATAACGAATGATAATTCATGAGATACTACTGAGGAAAGAAATGTGTTTATTTGTCTTTTCCTTCTTCCTTAACCTTGGTTGGGAGCACAATGGTTTAAGATCACTGTCTCTTGTTTTTAAGATCACAAGTTGTACTGGTTGTTTACTTTCCTTTTGCTATGCTTCTCAAAGTCTGAATGATATCAATGGGGCACTTGATCAAGATCACACTGGTTAATGTATGGATTGATTGCTCTGTTCTGCCTGGTTGATGATCAGATGAGATGATCTGTTGTGATGAGATGATGAGATGAGATCAACGGTGGGCCGCTACGCTACACTACGCTATTTGACCACTAACTGTTAGTGTAGCGGCCTTTTTTTTCTCTAGAAGATCTGTAGTGTTAGCGCACGCTAAACACCGCTGAGCTAACTGCCAGCGTAGCGTGAAATTTTTATCTCAAATTTTCTGTAGTGTTAGCTTCAAATAATCACCGCTAAACTAACAGGTAGTTTAACTTTTTTTTCACTAACAAAATTTTGACTAACAGATAGCGTAACTGAGTTGACGCTAACATTTAGCGTAACTGAGGTGACGCTAACATTTAGCGTAACTGAGGTCACGCTAACATTTAGCGTAACTGAGTTGACGCTAACATTTAGCGTAACTGGTCCCACACTACGCTACACTAGATATTTTAAGCTACACTACACAATGGTGGAAAAATGAAAAATTTCAAGTGAGAAAATAACACAAATGCATGCCTTGAGGTGGAATTGAACACTTGACATGACAGGTTAGTAGCATCTCCAGACATCCTCCTTGTCCACATGACTAGCAGTACATGAGGAATGGGTCGGTGAGTTGAGGTTCAGTCAGCAAGAGGATGTCATGGACATGCCTGTGACATGTTCACTCCCTGGGTTCTGAGTTTGAACTTGAAGTTCAAGCAAGGGGAGATGGATGTCGGACCTCCAATCTCTTCTGATCCAAGCAAGACCCCATCAAGATTTTTCATCCTCATCCTCATCATCAACTTCATCAAAGATCAATCTGATCTTCATCTCAATTGAATACTCATCACAACCACCTCCATTATATCCTCCCATCCAAAAGTCTCTTCAGCTTACTCCCTCTTCTGAAACTTAGGTCTCTCATTGGATTGCATTGGACTAACTTTAATCAATTCGATCCCAGCAACCGTTTGCTTTTAGTCAACACAGTGGATGACAAAGTTGTAGCCCTCAATGCCAGCTTTCCAACGAACCAAAAATTAAGGAAATCAGACCTTTTTTTGCAAAAGTTATTGCTACTCAAAGTCAACCAGCAAAAATCAATCGCTTCCCCAAAAGGGAACAAACTAGAAGACTGCTACCCTGGCTCTGATGCTTGCTAACCTCCCCCCTCTTTGATTTAGTTACCCCCACACACACATTTTCTTGACCATTGACTGTGGATTACAAACAGGACGGGCCAAAAAAGCGGTATGATTTCAAATTTGTGTTAAGCTCCCGCAGGTTGCTGATCTAATTTTCTGCTTCTTCTTACTCTTCCTGTTTCCCTTTCCTGCAGCTGGCTACTAAATGATGGAATAAATGGATCTTGGGGTGATTCAAACCCTGGGGACTAATTTATCTCTTGATAGTAATAATAATGCCAGTATGAAAGCAGCAAAGAAACGGTGCAAAGCCAAAAAAAACAGGAGCTTCGAAACCAGATTCTCAAACAAACTCTCACCCCTAGTGATACCACCTACTTTTTTCAATTGGAGGAGAGTAATCAGTTACACTAACTGTTAGTGTAACTCAGTAATCAGTTATGCTAACAGTTAGTGTAACTTTTTGATCAGTTACGCTAACAGTTAGTGTAACTGAGGGGATCAATACGCTAACAGTTAGTGTAACTTATCAAAAAGTTACACTAACAGTTAGTGTAACTTTTTAGCCCACTAACCACGCTAAAATTCCACTAACAAGGGATTTGGTTAGTGTTAGTTGTTGTTTTTTTTAGTCAGCTAACACTACGCTAAAGTTTTTTTTTGTTTTTTCAGAAATCCTGTAGTGTTAGTGGGCCAAATTTTTCGCTAACAGTAACTTTTGTGTAGCGTAGCTTAAAAAGCTAACACTACGCTGCACTAACACTACGGTTAGCGTAACTGGCCCACTGTTGATGAGATGATCTGATGATCAAAAATTGGAATGAGGGGGGAAAGCCCCTCCTTAAATAGTCTATTTTACAACCCGGCTGACTTGTGGTTCTAGCCCTAACCAATAATCTATAAATGGCCAACTTGTGGTTCTAGCCCTAACCTATAATTTGTGGTTACCCTATGCAATGAATATTGAATATGTAAGCTAACTAAGGCCAACTTGTGGTTTACATTATGCAATAAGCATTTTGTATGCAAATAAAATTTAAATCCCAAATAACTTTTGACTGAGTGGAGCTAGCTTGGTGGTTCCAGTGAGTGACTATGGGTTAAATGCCCCGTAGAATGTGATTATGCCATAATACGCCTAAGAATATATGCCATTCTACATATTGAACTGTGACTTTATGCAATTTGATACTTGAAACACAATTGGCATACTACAACGGCCGGATATTCCCCTCGTTGATTCGACGTTGACAGGCTTGCCGGATCTTGACATGGCTGGTGAGAATTTGATGGATTTCAAGGGTTTGTCCTCTTTTCTTTGTCAAGTGCTTCTTTGTGAATTGTTTGGACTGATGTTCTGATCTTGGCCTGGTTGTCAGCAGGCAAATCTATAAGTGATCAGCCTATGGAGGCCTCATCCTCTGCTGTTAGATTGGAGAATGACGCTGGAATTGCTTCTGATGGGGTATTGACATCAGCTGACGTGGATAATTTTGATTTTACTGCTGGTAGTAGATAGTCATCAGACATTTTTTATTTTTGGTTCAACTGGTTGATCTGTTGGGAACTTGTAGATCCAATGGATCGACCGCCTCTACTCAGGTTCCACGACCTGGAAGACCTGAGGCGCTTTGTGCAGAGATGGGCAGTGACCCATGGCTACAAACTCTCAACGGCAAACTCTGGTCAAGGCCGAAATGTCTACTTACGTTGTTCCTTGGCGGGAGAGGACTCAAAGAAGCCTCAGTCCAATCAACAACACATGTCTCGAAACAGGCGTATTGGGTGCCTGTTCAAGGTTTCTGGGCACAAACCAACGGCTCAGGGACGCCAAAATATCCCGTGGGAAATACGAATCGAAGATCATCTGGATCATAATCATGGCCCCATGGATGTCGAATACCAAGTCCTACACCGACAGATGGATCCGGCCCTGGCAGATGAGGCAGTTAGGATGGCCTCCTTGGGCATGAAGCCCCAAGCTGTAGCTTGCATGGTCTCGGATAAGGCTGAGCGGTTTGTCACCAATCGTACCATTTACAATGCAACAGCTGCACATCAATGAGCCAAGCAGAAAGGCGAATCGGTTTTGATGTACTTGATTCGGTGCCTCAAGAACTGCAACTGGTTACACGAGGAGGCTTACAACAAGGACGGAAATCTTCTGTATTTGTGGTTTGCACATCCGTGGTCTTTGAAGCTGGCAAGACGGTTCCATCATGTCGTCCTCATGGATTGTACGTATAAAACAAATGTGAACAGATACCCTCTGTTGCATGTTGTTGGGCAGGCCGCAACCAACAAGACGTTCTCCATTGGATTTTGTTTCATGCAAAATGAGTCAGAGGTGGCGTATTCATGGGTGTTGAATAACCTTAGGTGAGCAGCTGTGGATATTAAACTCTCTGTTTGAGAAAACTAATGACTGGTCTCCTGTCTCAGGTCTGTGTGGGCCCCTGAACGGACACCTAAGGTGTTTGTTACTGACCGGGAGAAGGCGTTGCGGAATGCCATTGCCCAACATTTCCCTGAGGCACAGAAAAATGTGTGTGTGTGGCACATTGATCAAAACATCCGGGCCGCCTGTTACCCAGCTTTTGCAGCAAATCAGGCGGAATATGATGTGTTCAAGGCGAAGTGGCATGTGGTGGTTTATTCAAAGGACGAGGACGCATACGATTCTTTGTGGGCCGAGCTCCAGGTATATCTAGCAGGCCGCCCAAATGTTCTTGATTATCTTATTAAAAACATCATCCCAGAGCGGCAGAACTTCATTACTCCTTGGATCGGGAAAACAACACATTTGGGCAATCATACAACCTCGCAAGGGGAGTCTGCCCATGCTTGGTTGAAGTCTTTCATCACTTCTCACAAGAAGGATTTGGCCAATGTCTTTGAGGCCATTTCAGTCGCGGTCGACCGGCAGCTGGCGAGCATCAAGGCATTGGATGGGAAAGAGAAGCAAAAGGGGAAATCTGGAATTCCGGAGGCTTTGCATCCACTGAACACCAAGGTCTCCATACATGTGATTGCCATGCTGGAGATTCAGATGGATCTGTACAATAAGAACAAGCACGCAGTGGCAGGCGGGGTGGACTTTGACGAGTGCTCTGGAACACTCTTTGCTTCAATGGGGATCCCTTGCTGGCACATGTTGGCGGATATCTTGGAGGAGCGGGGGTTAGTCGAGACAGTTAATATACATGATCAGTGGAAATTGTATTATGACCCTGATAACCCGGTGAGTGTTCTTGATCTGTTGTTTTGAAAATAATTTCCTGGTCACTGAGATACTTGTTGGGCCAGAATGTGGAGCCACCATACAACTTTCACGAAGATTATGCAGCCTTGAAGGAGGAGATTCTGGCCA